CTCCACCCCTGTAGGTAGGAAACTAGTATACTCCTTTTATACAGTACCTTGCACGTAGTGGTGGTTCAAACACATCTTTAAATTGAACGAAAGTGAATTGTACTGAATTGAAAGTTGTAGTTGTAAATCTTTCAGGCTCAAGATCCAGATTTTTCAAGTGTTTCTAGTCTACTTCCCTCCACTTTCCACTTCATTTATCTCGAAGGGCAGAGGCCAGGAAAAAGATGAATAAACAGTTTGCATAAAACTCAGGTAGGAGTAAAAACTAATTTTGAGAAACTGCAAAATTTACATCCTATTGACTGAAGTTTAGGTCACTATGAATTTTTTCTACACAAAGCTCAGGAGGCCACCTTTATATTATTGGGGCAAAACCCTTAACAACCCTTGGTACTAAACAGCTCCCAGCAGGTTGCCAGGGAAGCCCAGCTGATGAGCATCTACTCCTGGGCCGACTGAATAAGCACGAGCCAGCAGGTACGGGAGAAAAGAAATGAGACTATAGCAAGTTAATTTGGTCAAGGAAGAGAAGTCTTCAACCCAACAGACTAGGTGTGGCCTCACAGTACTGGTGCTCCCTTCAAAGGAGAGTAGTTCGGACTTCCGGTCAGGAAGGCAGCATAGGTAAACGCAGTCTCGCCTCCTCCCACAACCTCAAAATTACAACTAAACTATGGAACAACCATCCTTGACAACGGCCTGAAATCGAGCTGAATGGAAGTCCTACAACTACAAAATTAAAGCAGCAGCCACATCTAGACTGGTAGGACAGGCTGGTCCCACACCCACATGTGGCAGATAAAAATCAGGAGGCACACCTCGGCTGGGAAGGTCCTCCTTTGGGAGTGAGGGGTTCCCATCCCACACCAGGCACCAAGCTCAGGGTTCCAGTGCCAGGAAGAGAAGTCCCTATCACGTCTGGCTGGAAAAACCAGCAGGAACTGAGGCTAAGGGAGGCTGAGGCTGCAGGAGCCCCAGGCAGCTCCTTAAAGGGTCTACACATGGACTTACTCGGCTTGCTCCCTCTAGGCTACAGTACAGGGGAGGCAGCTTAAGGGGCACCAGAGACATACAGGGAAGAACTGAATTGTTTTGCATCAGGGCGAGAGCTGGAGAGGCAGCTTTCTCCTGGACAGATGTGTGGCAGAGGCCATTGTTTCTTTGGTGAGCCCTTACCCCACTGGTTAGGCAGACCGGTGACATATATGGGACTCTAGCAACATGGCTCACACTGTTTGCTGTGCTCTGGTAATTCCCTGAGGCCCTGCCCCACCAACTTTCAGGCCCACCCAAGCTGTTTCCAGTGGCTTTACCATAAGAGTGGCCTTTTTTGGCTCCTGCTTCAGATTTTCCTGAATTTCTCTCAAATTAGCAGCATCTGGCCTCAGTGAGTCATACACCTTTCGATATGTGGCCCCAGGCCTGGCACTAGAAGCACTCAGCCTTGGTTCACAGCTTGGCTTTGCTTGAGTACCTCCAAGACCAGCACATGCAGCAGCCATCTGCAGATCACTTCATAGCTTATGTCTGGTGGCCCCGGGTAGAACACAGGCAGTGGCTGACCTTGCCCAGAGCCAGCATACCCATTGGACAGCTTCAGACCATGTCAAAGCACCACCACCCAACCACCTCCACAAGCAACACATTCAAGGGGTGGACTCAGTGGGTACCAGAGCCCTGCTGAAGTAAGTCTTGCTCTGTGTGGTGGGCCCTGCACAGCTGTTGCTCCAAGGTAGTCAGAGGTCAGTGGTCACTGGGCATAGCCAGTCCTTGCAGCTAATCAGCTGGAGTAAATCCCTCCCATTGACATTCCAATCAAGACTATTTACAACAGAAAGGTGTACAGTCCACACTACGGGTGCACCTTGAGAGCCAGCTGGGGTGACCAGGGAGGCTGTGCCACTGGACCCTATAGGACACTACTACAGTAGGCCACCCTACAAGGCCTAAGAGACATAGCAAATCTACCTAATACATAGAAACAAACACAGGAGGCAGCCAAAATGAGGAGACAAAGAAACATGTCCCAAATGAAAGAACAGAACAAAACTCCAGGGAAAGAACTAAATGAAATGGAGATAAGCACTCTAACAGATACAGGGTTCAAAACAAAGGTTATAAGGATGCTCAAGGAACTTAGTGAGGACTTCAAGAGCATAAAAAAGGACCAGTCATAAATGAAGGGTTCACAGTAAAAAATGAAGGAAGCATTATATGATATAAAGAATGATTTACAGGGTGTCAATAGTAGAGTAGGTGAAACAAAGAAGCAAACCACTGATTTGGAATATAAGAAAGTAAACACCTATCAGAACAGCAAAAAGAAAAAGAATATAGAAAAAATGAATCTAGTGTAGAGAGCCTCTGGGACAACTTCAGGCGTACCAACATTCACATCATGGGGGTGCCAGAAGGAGAAGAGAGAGAGCAAGAAATTGAAAACCTATTTGAAAAAATAATGACAGAAACCTTCCCTAATTGGGGGAAGGAAACAGGCATATAAGTCCAGGAAGCACTGAGTCCCAAACAAGAGGAACCTAAAGAGGTCCACACCAAGACACATCACCACCAAAATGCCAAGGGTTAAAGACAAAGAATCTTAAAAGCAGCAAGAGAAAAACAGTTAGTTACCTACAAAGGTGCTCCCATAAGACTGTCAGATGATTTCTCAAAAGAAAATTGCAGGCCAGAAAGAGGTGGCAAGAGATATTCAAAGTGATGAAAAGCAAAGACCTATAACCAAGATTACTCTATCCTGCAAAGCTATCATTTAGAATGGATGAACATATAAAGAGTTTCCTAGACAAGAAAAAGCTGAAGGAGTTAATCACAACCAAACCAGTATTATATGAAATGTTGAAGGGTCTTCTTGAAGGAGAAGAACAAAAATATGAACAATAAAATGGCAATAAATACATATCTATCAGCAATTGAATCTACAGCCCTGGTCAGTTTGGCTCAGCAGTTAGAGTGTTGGCCTGCGGACCAGAGAGTCCTGGGTTTGGTTCCCGCTAAGGGCACATACCTTGGTTGCAGTTTGTCCCCATCCCCAGTTGGGGTTGTGTGGGTGGCAACCAATCAATGTGTCTCTCTCACATCTATGTTTCTCCCTTTCTCTCTTCCCACCTCTCTCCCTTCCGCTCTATCTGAAGATAGATGCAAAAGTGTCCTCAGGTGAGGATAAAACAAACAAACACCTAAGGCAAAAGAAACAAAGGGAAAAGGGAACACATGGAACTACATCAAACTAAAAAGCTTCTGCACAGCAAAAGAAATAACCATCAAAACAGAAAGAGATCCCACTATATGGGAGACCATAATTGCCAATGATGCATCAGATAAGGGGTTAATTTCCAATATATATAGAGTGCTCATACAACTCAACAAAAGGAAGACAAAGAACCCAATCAAAAAATGGGAAGAATACCTAAATAGACACCTCTCCAAAAAAGACATACAAATGGCCAAGAGACACATGAAGAAATGCTCAATGTCACTAATCATCAGAAAGATGCAAATTAAAACAACTATGAGGTATCACCTCACACCCCTGAATGGCCGCCATCAACAAATTAACAAACAACAAGTATTGGCGAGGGTGTGGAGAAAAGGGGACTCTAGTACACTGCTGGTGGGAAGGCAGACTGGTGCAGCCACTGTGGAAAACACTATGGTGTTACCTCAAAAAGTTAAAAATTGAACTGCCATTTGACCCAGTGATCCCACTTCTAGAAATATACCCTAAGAAGCCTGAAACACCAATCAGAAAGAATATATGTACCCCTATGTTCATAGCAGCACTATTTACAATAGCTAAGATCTGGAAACAACTCAAATGTCCATAAGTAGATGAGTGGATAAAAAAGCTGTGGTACATGTACACAATGGAATACTATGCAGCTATAAGAAAGAAAGATCTCTTATCCTTTGAGATGGCATGGAAGGACCTGTAGAGTATTATGCTAAGTGAAACAAGCCAAGCAGAGAAAGACAAATATCACATGATCTCACTTATTTGTGGAATATAATGAACTAAACAAACTGATGAACAAAATTAACCCAGAGACATAGAGGTGGTGTACAGACTGACCATCCTCAGAGGAGGGGTGTTGGGGAGGATAAACCACAGAACTTAACATGCATGTATGCATAACCAATGAACATAGACAACAAAGCTGGGGGTCAGATGGGGGGGAGGGTGTCAATGGGGGAAAAATAAGAAACATCTGTAACAAAAACAAACAAATAAATAAATAAATAAATAAACAACAACAACAAAAAAACCCAATTGAATCTACAAACAAAATGGGCAAGCAGAACAGAAACAGACTCATAGATACAGATAACTTCTTTGTTGGTTGTCAGATGGGATGGCAGTTGGGGGGATGAAAAAGGTGAAGGTATTAAAAAGTACAAATTGCTTGTTAGACTGAGGAACCTCAAAAGGGAAGGGGAAGAAGGGGTGGGAAGAGATAAACCAAAGAACTTCTATGCATATATGCAATGGACACAGACAATAGTGTGGGGAAGACAGGAGGGTGGTGGAAGTGGGGAGTGGGGGGGGTCAATGGGAGAAAAAAGAGGGACATCTGCAATACATTCAACAATAAAGGTAAGTTTTAAAAAAACAGTAGTTCCTCTGGCCCAGGCCCCGCCCCTCAGCCATAGACCCTCCCCTCCAGCCCTAGGCCCCGCCCAGAGTTCGCTTTACTCACCAGGTCAGGTCCCTCAGCCTCTGGCCTGGTCCACGGGGCGCTTGCGCACTTCATAGGGCATCTTAGTATTGCCCAAATCCAAATTTGGGTAAAGAAGGAAACTCGTATTTTCTATACCCCGCCAAAGCGGCTTTCCACGCTCTTCTAGAGATGATTTTGCCTCTCTTGACGCTGACAACCCAGCTTCTCCCTTTATGTGGCTTAAAAAGGCACATTTTAAATTAGGCAAACTCTGGACAGCCCCATCTCTTGACGCAGGGTCCTTGGGCTGAGTCTTGGGGCGAACGTCAGGTGGCCAGGGTCCTTCCTTAGGGCGGTCGCGCAGGTAGCGGCTGCGAGTAACCGGACACTGAGCGTCATGTACTACAAGTTTAGTGGCTTCACGCAGAAATTGGTGGGAGCATGGGCTTCCCATGCCTATAGTCCGCAGGTACGGGTAGCACTGCTCGGACAGGAGGAGTGGCGGCCTGAGCCTCGGCTCTGGGCAGTCGCGGCGCCGGAGCCGGGCGAGGCTTCTGTCCACGGTTTGGTTTAGTTCGCCCTGTACCTCCCCGGGCCCTCCTCACCTACTTGCGGCGACCTGTTTGTGCAGATACTTCCCCGGTGGAGCTGGCCTGGCCGGAAGTTGGGCCTGGCACTCAGCAGGGGTCAAGGTGACCCCCGGACTCGTTGCTGTGGCTCGAGGGGTGCCCCGTGGGGTCGGCGGGACCCAGAATGTGACCCTACCGAGTTCGAAGTTCAGCCTCGTCCTTTAAACGGAGGTCTGCTTTCGGTGTCCTCAGTGCCGCATTGGTGACCCCTGCCGCAGCCCAAAAGGCAGCCTCATCCAAGCACGAGATTGGAGAGTTGGAATGACGGCCCTGCGAGCATCTATAGGGCCAGGAGAGGTTGTATGATCAGAATTGGGAGACCTAACGAGCTCCTTGAAATGTGTGGGTGAGTCGGTAGTTACATGCAACGAGCTCCATCTGTAAAATGGTTCAGATGCATGTTATTTGAGTGGTCTAATTTCATTAGGTTTTTGCCAATTGGAGTTTCAGTCTCCAGCTTATGTTGTAGAAGATGAGGGACTTTAGGGTCCCTTATTCTTATTTTGTGTTCAAATCCTGGCTTTGCTGCTTTATTTTATGACTAACCAAGTTACTTTATTGTGAGCAACTAGTACAGATTACATGAGGTGTGTGTCAAGCGAGTAGGAGTCTTTTGCAGGTGGTTGGTACTGAGTAAGTGGTAGGTCTTCTCCAAAAGCTGAGTTTGAGCTGCCATCATATTCATCTCTCCTCTTCATAGAGTGGTGGGGAAGGGTTGATCAAATATTCAGTTGGAAAACTGGACTGCAATAGTAAGGGGCCCACTTAGGGTGTAAAGGACGCTCCATTGTTAACATCCTGCTTTTTCTGTGGTACACTGCAACTTGCCCAAGGCAGGGGGGTAGTTTGAGAATGATTTCAATCTAAGATTAGATGTGCTATTAATTAGGATAGGGAGGGCAAGAAGAAGGGCAAGTCTTGATGGGGAAGGGTCTAGGTTTATAAATGTTGAGCTTGTGATATGCCTGGTAACAACTGGATTTGTGAATATGGAATTTAATAGATCAGGGTATCTATTAAACCTGGGTGGTAGGAGTAGCTGGGTTGGGGGGGGGTTGCCCAAGGAGGATATAGGGAAGAAAGGTGGGAATATAATTAGACTACAGAAACATGAAGGTAGGGTGGAGAAGTAATTTTATCGAAGGAATAATCCAGGATTAGAGCGGAAACCAGTGTGGTCAAATGAAATTGGTAACAAGGCCTAAAGAGGGAATTGTTCACAGTGATTTTTTTGACAGATTATAGAAAAACAGCCATTTCTATCATATCTGCTTATACTATAGAGAAAGAATATTTTTCATTGTATGCATCTTAGATGTTACAGTTTGATGAGTTCTAATACATCACCCCTAAGAAGGTTCACTGTTACTCTTACCCTACCACTCTCTGTCCACCTCCCTATTTTTTGACTTTTATCACTATAGATAATTTTGCCTATTTCTGAATTTCATATAAGGAACTACACAGCACTCTTTTGTTTCAGGCTTTTTCTATTTTTGAAGTTCATTGATTATGTGTATTAGTACTCAGTTCCTTTTATTGCTGTGTAGGTTTTGTTGTCACAGTGGATCTGTTTTGTTGGTGGTTGTACATGTTCTTTTGGTAGAGTTTGAGCATAACCTAGGTTTTACCTATGAAGGAAAAAGTGAAGGTTTAGACTAAAACAAACATATATTGACATTGAATTGGCACTCAGAGCAGAGATTACCCTGAGATGCATTTGGTGCAGCTCGGGCTTTCAGGTTTCTAGCACCTCTTTAATTGCGTTTCTCTTGAGAGTTTGAACTTCTTAGTTACTTGTGGATTTCTTTTCTTTTTGTTTTTTTTTTTTAAATCCTCACCAGAGGACATTTTTGCATTTATCTTCAGATAGAGCGGGAGGAAGAGAGAGAGAGAAACATCGACGTGAGAGAGACACATGCAGTGGTTGCCACCCACACAACCACCCGAGGCCAGGGACAAACTGCAACAGAGATACATGCACCGAACCTGGGACTCTCTGGTCCCCCGGCCAATGCTCTAACTGCTGAGCCAAACCGGCCAGGGCTGAACTTAGTTCAGCCCGGATTTCTTAAGTTATGCTGAAAGAAGTGATAACATGTAAGCTTTGTATGAATTGTAGATTTCAGAGTGATTTTGACAGGCATCCCTCAAACCAGGTGTTCTGACTTCAGTAATTAGGACTACTCCAGTTTTTCCTTTCTTGGAAACATTAACACACTGGAAAACGTAGATGTTTGTAACTTTCAGTATTATGTAAAGTGCATTGAATAACTGAACATGCATTGAATAACCTGATATGGAAAAGCTAGTTCTCTAACGACAGGGTTTGTGGAGATTTATATATCAACTTGATGGCAAGTAATTGTGGGGAAGGAATTTTCCAGTGGTTGGTTGAAAAGCATTTTTCTTATCTTCACATGTGGTGCCATTAAATTGAGGCCAATAAATATGTGAAAAGATGATCAACATCATTAGTCATTAGGGAAATACAAATCAAAACCACAGTGAGGTAAATTCCAGTTTACACCTGCTAACATCAGGAGGAAAGCAACAGTATTGGTGAGAATGTGGAGAAACCGGAACCCTGGCATGTTACTGGTGGGAATGTAAAATGGTGTAGCCACTTTGCAAAAACAGTTTGGCAATTTGTTAAAAAGTTAAACTTAATTCTACCATATGATTTAGCAATCCTCTTCTGTTTAAGCTGGCAGAATGATATTCTAGGTAAAGGGAACTGAGAGTGATGGAGGGGAGGGGCAGCTAGGGAATCATTGAGTAAGTTTGGCTGTGGTGGATGGAGGTAGATCATGAAGGGGATAGGGTGGTAGGACTTAATTTTATGAGAAATAAGTAGGAATTTACAAAGCAATTGAATGCAGAGAGTTGTGGTAGAATCTTGCCAGAGATTGAAACAAGGACATGCTTCTTACCCTTAGTTTTATGAAAGGTTTGTGGAGAAGCAAGTATAACTAGAGCTATGCTTTGGAAACAACCTGACTGGGAGAGACCAGTGCCAGGGATGCCTATTAGACCCATAAAATAGTTCAAGGTCTTCTGAGTTGTAATGGAGAAGGAGTCAAAGGTCTGGGAGATAAGGACTTAGCGAATGATGAGGAATCCAAGGTGATTGGGAGGATGGCAATGCTTTCTACAGAAACAGGGAGCTCTTAGGTAGATTTGTGAGAAACTGGGTGAATTTTGGACAAGTGGAGTGTGCGGTGTCAAGGAAGTGGAGGTAGTGATATCTGGTTTGAAGTTAGAAATGAAGGACTTGAGTCATTATAGATTGAAACTTGTTTCTAGTCATAAATTACAGTGAAAGAGTTCATAGTCTTCTGTCATTTAAAATTTAATAAATTTTTTTGTTAGTCCTCAGCAGAGGATATTTTCCATTGAGGTTTTTTTTTTTGTTTTTTTTTTGAGAGAGAGGGACAAACATACTTTGATGTGAGAGAGACACATCGATTGATTGCCTCCTGCATAACCCTGACCTGGCTGAGTATCAAACCTGCAACCCAGGTATGTGCCCTTGACTGGGAATTGAACCCGTGACCCTTTGACCTGCAAGACCACGCTCTAACTGCTGAGCCAAATCGGTCAGGGCTGACTAACTCTATTTCTCTCCACCTTTCTTCCTCCTCCCCAGACCTAAAAGAAGGAAAGGTAAACTTTGGGCCAGTCAACTTTTTTTTTTTTTTTTTTTTATCCTCACTCGAGGACATTTTTTGATATTTTGTTCAGATAGAGTGGGAGGGAGAGGGAGAGAGAGAAACATCGATATGAAAGGGACACATTGAGTGGTCGCCACCCACACGACCCAATCAGGGCCAGGAACAAACTGCAACCGAGGCACGTGCCCTTAGCGGGAACCGAACCTGGGTCTCTCCAGACCGCAGGCCATCACTCTAACCGCTGAGCCAAACCGGCCAGGGCCGGGCCAGTCAACTTTGATAGGAAAAAAATCATGTTTACTTTTCTTTAAAAAAATTTGGAGCAACTAAAATAGACTAGGAAGAAAACTACTAAACTTGGTTACGGTTGAATGGCTTTTAAGCAATCATAGAAGTAGTGATTGTGTAAAGAGCCAAGAGAGTCAATTGATATTAATAAATAAAACCTGAGTTTTCTCTTTTTTAAAAATTTTTTAAATTTTTATCCTCACCCGAGGATATTTTTTTGTTCAGGTAGAGTGGGAGAAAGAGAGAGAGAGAGAGAGAACGAGCGCGCGCGAAACATCGATGTGGAAGGGACACATCGGGTGGCTGCCACCCGCACGACCAACCGACCAACCAGGGCCGGGGACAAACCGCAACCGAGGCACATGCCCCCAGTGGGAACTGAACCCGGGTCTCTCGGGACCGCAGGCAGATGCTCTAACCGCTGAGCCAAACCAGCCAGGGCCTGAGTTTTCTCTTTGGTCTATAGACCACTTCTTTTAAGAACAGCTTTCAGTTGTTTTCTCACTGCTGCGGGAGGTCAGGCATCAAGCGCTGATTTACATGACTTTGGTTCTGAAATATTCAGGTCTACATTGTGATGAAGCTATCGACTTTCTTAGCTTCTTTATGCATTCTTCAAATAGTTACTGAATGCACTCTCTTTGCTGGTTGCTTTTCTAAGTCTTGGGAAATAAGAGCAGTGAACAAAACATGTCAAAATCCTGCCCTCATGGGACTTCCATTGCAGTAGAGGGGGAGGCACAGTAAACAAAGTCAAATATAGTATGTTGATTGTGATGAGTGCTGTGGAAAAAAATAAAGCAGAAAAGGAGGATAGATTGTTAGCAGACTAAGGGGGAAGACATGTAGTTTTAAAAAGGGTCATTAAGGTAAGTTCTCACTGAGAAGGTGACATATGGGCAAAGACTTGAAGGTGAGGGTACAAGCCATGTGGTTACTGAAGAGCATGCTAAGCAGAGGGAACATGCCTAGTGCTTGGGAGGTTTAAGGGGCTACTCCAGTGGGCTGGGGCAGAGAAAGGGGATAAAGTAAACTTAGGGGTATTGAGGGATGCATCTCATAGGGCCCTGAAAGCCATTGTAAGAGTTTTGCTTAGTGAGATGGGAGGCCTTTGGGAGGATTTGAGCTGAATAGTGACATCTTATGTTTTAACACAATCCCTGGTTGCTGCATTTAGGGTAGACTATAGGGCAGCAAAGGTAGACGCAGGATGACTGGTAGAAATCGGGGGTTTGGACCAGAATGGATTATTGGAGATGGGTGAGAAGTGGTCAGATTCTGAATATATTTTGAAGGTAGAACCAAAAGGATTTGCAGATGTGTGAAAAGTATTAAGAGTGATTCCAAGATTTTTGGCATGAGTACCTGGAAGAATGGTGGTGTTATATATTGAGATGGGCAGAGGCATATTTGAGCCTCATAATTTTGCTGGGTTGGGGCAACCACAGTCTGGAAGAGTATAGGTGAAGGGATTTTGCTGTAGGTCCCTTCTTGGAAATACAGCTTCCTGGTCAAGTCCACTCTTGAAAACCCTAGTGTTAGTACTATCGAGCTGCTTTAGAACATTGGAGACGTTGACGCTCTTAAATTGATGGGTAGGTGAAGTACCTTCTCATATTCATTCCTTTTACTTGTAGGGCCAAGATAGCTGAATTATTGATAGTATGGTATAATAAAATGTGTGGATTTGAATCCCATCTTCCATATAGAATCTCTGAGCTTTCTTTTAATCATCTGTAACATGGGCTGATAATACATTTATGGAGTTGATGTGAAGGGTAAATTTGGTTATGAAGATTGTATAAGAACCTGGAAAAAAGTGCTTATTATAACTGAAAAAAAGTAGAATCTAGTATTTCACATTAAGATTATAATGATATTAAAATATGCCTATGAAAAAAGATTGGAGAATATATAATTTTTAATAATGTGGTAAGATGATAGATAACTTTAAAATTCTTTATTCTAAACTTACATAGTATTATAAATGGAAATATGAAATTATTTAAAACTGTTAAGATGGTTGATACTACTGTTTTCAAATGATATTGTTCAAAAACTTTCTTTAGCTTTGAATCACTTGGTGGGTGAACAAACACAAAGCAATTAGGTATAATGCTGTCTAAAAATGTTTTCACATTAGTTCTGTCAAAACATGAATTTAATTTCAAACCGTTTTTGGAGGTGCTTGGTAGCAAGAGTTCTTTTTTTTTTTTTTTTTTTTTTTTTATCCTCACCCGAGGACATTTTTCCATTTTTTTGTTCAGGTAGAGTGGGAGAGAGAGAGAGGAACAGAGAGAGAGAGAGAAACATCGATGTGAAAGGAACACATCGAGTGGCTGCCACCCGCACAACCGACCAGGGCCGGGGACAAACTGCAACCGAGGTACGCGCCCTTAGCGGGAACCGAACCCGGGTCTCTCAGGACCGCAGGCCGACGCTCTAACCGCTGAGCCAAACCAGCCAGGGCAAGAGTTCTTAAATGATTGCATTCAAGGGGAAATGATCATTAGGAGAAAATACAGATTGCTTACAGAATAAGAGTGTGTAAAATTCTCCATTTCATGGAGAGACCCTTGTAAGCCTTGTTATCTCAGTAGTTAGGATCCCTCTTCCATTCACACTCCTGCGTCTGTGTTTGAGTATGTTATATACCAAATGTAGGTTAACAGCTTATTGACCAAACTTTCTCTTTAAATGGATTATTGTTTTTAAGCAGTAGTTGAGGGGCAGTGACCAGGGCAGGTACTGAAATACTCCCTCTGGACTTTAGAGAGGCTTGAGTTTTGACACTTAGCTCTGTCTCTTACTGTGTGATCTCAGGCAAGTTACCCTCTCTGGTGCAGTTTTATCCTCTGTAGAAAAGAAATAGTAACATCACAGTGGGGTTGCTGTCAGGATTAAATGTGATTATGTGTATGAAATGCTTAAATTAATTTGATGCTGGGCACATGACAAGGGCTCAGATATTAGCTGCCATTATTCCATAACATTAATTTCCATAACAGCAGAGATTGCATCTGTCTTATTCATTGCTTATTTTCAGTACATAGTAAATACTCAGTAATAATGTGAATGGGTAAATGATTCAGTCCCATTTACGCACTATGTAGGAAGAAATAGAAGCCAAGTTTATTTTAATACCATTTTGTTGCCCTGTTGATCCTAATGCCTGCCTGGTGGGAATAACATTGAGGTTTTCAATATTTGATTTTTAGGATAGGTTTTGTTAATTATAGATACATTTAGATTTCTTTGAAGGGATCAGGAACTAGGGGTCTGACAACTGTATTTATTAATTTGGGCAAAAGATTTACATTTTCATCTGTAAAATGGAAGTGGCTGGGCTTGAACTTTATAACTTCAAAGCTTTATTTTTCCTAGTTAGAATTTAATATAAAAAGATGTGATTTTAATTTGGAGCTCTAAATTTCTAATTTGAATCTGCAGGGTATTTTGGAGAACCATCTATACATCTGCCATTGTAGATTTACTTCTTCAGGTGGAAAGCCAGATTTTCCCTTAGCTGCCTTCTTCCCTCCCTCCCTCTATCTCTCTGCCTATCTAAAGTTGTTTTGCTTTTCCTGTTTTTTTGTGAGGGGGACCACAGGCCTCCTCTGAACTGTAGTCCACCAGTGCTAAAGAAGGGTTTGCAGGAGTAGGGGTGGTTCTGGGTGAAAAAGGACATTGGAACTTTTCTTGGGAGGTCTGTATCTGTGACTGTTGGAGGGAGATGTGCTAGGGACCTTGGTTTCCTTTTTTTTTTTTTAAATCCTCACCTGAGGACATTTTTCCATCTTTTTGTTCAGATAGAGTGGGAGGGACAGAGAGGAAGAGAGAGAGAGAGAGAGAGAGAGAGAGAGAGAGAGAGAGAGAAACGTTGATGTGAAAGGGACACGTCAAGTGGCTGCCACTCGCACGACCCAACCAGGGTCGGGGACAAACGGCAACCGAGGTACGTGCCCCTAGCGGGAACCGAACCTGGGTCTCTCTGGACCGCAGGCCAGCGCTCTAACTGCTGAGCCAAACTGGCCAGGGCTGGGTTTCTTTTTTTTTTTTAAATAACAGCTTTATTGAGATATAATTCACATACCATACACTTACTTAAATATGTTTTATTGTATTCACAGATAATGTGTAACCATCACCATATTAATTTTAGATCATTTTCATCACCTCAAAAAGAACCCTGTACCCTTCATCTCTGATCCCCCTATTCTTCACTCCCTCCCAGCCCTGAGCAACCACTAATCTAATTTCTGTCTCTGTAGACTTCCCTATTTTGGACTGTCATATGAATAGGATTATAATGTGGTCTTTTGTGACTGGCTTCTTTTACTCGGCATAGTGCTTTCACGGTTCACCCGTGTTGTAGCATGTATCAGTACTTCATTTTTCTTCCCCCTTAGGATTTTTAAGCCTGTGTGTCCATCCTTCCTTTATCCATGTGGCTGAGGGAGCTACAAATAGTAAAACCTATGTTAACCCCCAAATCTCATTCACTTTATATGTATCGGATACCTGCATGTGCCAGATGCTACTTTAGATACATATTTATTATCTCATGCAGTTCTTTCATGGTAGATACTATTGCATCCAACATGTCACAGATGAGAACACTAAGGTTTCCTTTTTATTTTTATAAAGTAATGGGTTTATTAATGCTGGAAAATTTAGTTACTCTAATTTTTTTGTTTTGTGTTTGTTTTCTGATTCTGGAAGACAAGTCTTCTACAGTTGCAGGCTCTTCCAGACTGAGGTATTTTACTGTGTGTCTGAAAAGAATCTGAGGTCCTCTCTGGGGTTAGAGATTCCACGTTAGTACATCAGCTCACCAAGAGAAGAAAAGGGACAGCCAGTTCTCTCTTGAAATCAAACCAAAGTTCATACAGATTATAAACGTTTTACTGGTTTGAGATAGACACAATAGGTATTTCTAGAAACTCAGATTGGACCTTGGTTGTTTGCTCCTCCCTCCCTGTGCCCCTCGTTCCTCTCCCTTCTTAAGGGCAGGGACTTCTCCACAGCGTTGCTCTGGGAAAGTGACTCGGCTGTTTTGTTGAAAGTTTAAGGACCTTAAACTTAAACAAATTAAAGGCCTTGCAATGCAGAGGTGGAGAGACTGTCCTTCCCTCTCATGTGGTTGAATGGCTGCCTCCACTGTTCCAGACAGCCTGATCCTTGGAAGGCTTGTTCATGTACCCAGGCATGCTTTTAGCTGGCCTTTTCCCTTTTTCCTGCAGGGATTAAAGCCTGTGGTTTCCACAGAAGCACCACCTATCATATTTGCCACACCAACTAAACTGACTTCCGATTATACTGCATATGATTATGCTGGGAAAAACAAAGTTCCAGAGCTGCAGAAGTTTTTCCAGGTGAGCAGACACTCTAGAACAGAGAAACCTGTGAAATAAATAGGTGTAAAAACACTCCATGAAACCAAGTCTTAATCTAGTTTGCTACCCACCTTCTCTCTTTTTCCTTAAGTAGAATTCTTTTGCTTTTAGTGTGAGCCATAAATTGAACTCTATGTAGGTAGAAACTGATGAAAGAGAGAGAGTGATTAATGTCCTCATCAGTATTTCAGGGTATGCTGGTTTTCAAATTGCATATATTGAATGGAGGAAGCAGTAGCATGTTTAATGTATAATAGCATTATGAATAATTCAGTATATAGTTGGCTTTGTGACACATGCAGTGACTTTTGGCATCGAGTTTTTTGTAATTGTTTTTTGCCTCCTTGATATTAAAATTCACTGAGCTATTGCTAGAAGTGGAGGAGGCTCTTTTGGGTTTACTGATCAACAGAGAGAAGCCAGCATTGGATTTAAAAATTATGTTAACATTAATCTATATACAGATAATTGAGTGACCCAACTATGTCTCAAGTTCCATGGGAGTGGTAGTGCCTGTTGCTGGAAGATAGCTTCTCCCTCCTAAAAAATATGTCCAGATTCAGGACTGGCTTGGGGACTTTTGATCAGTATGATCCCTTTTTATCTGATAAGTCTTTTTTTTAAAAAAATTTTTCCCCCTTTATTAATTTTAGATAGAGAGAGATAGAAACATCAATGAGAGAGAACATTGATTGGCTGCCTCCTGCATGCCCCCCAAAGGGGATTTGGCCCACAACCTGGGCATGTGCCCTGACCGGGAATCAAACCGGCAACCTCTTGGTGCATGGGTCGATGCTCAACCACTGAGCTATACCTGCTGGGCTGATAAGTAAGTCTTGATCAAGCATTTTGGGGTCTTGAGTTGCAGTGGGGAGAGATTTTGAGACTGAGCAAAATAATGGATTAAATATTTTATGGAGTCTCATTAAAAAGGAGTTTAACACCTGTTTGGAAAGAAGGTGGCTGAATGCAAAAGTGGATTTGAGCCTATTAACTGACCTGGTGTGCTCAGACTTTTCTAGTGTAGGAAGTCAAACTAAATGTAGAGTCTTTCTTGTGCCTGTATTTCTTTGGTTAGCTGCTGGATACCTTTATGTTTAAAAAAATTTCACCAGTGCTTCTTTCCTATGATAAATATGATGCATTCCTTAGAAGTTTGGAATTTTTTTGCATGCATGTTCCTGAAGCTGCCTTTTGGAGAATAACTTTGGACTTACAAGCTTTAGTAACATTTATAAGAAAGTACACTAGTATTTAAATTAGCATTGTAATGAATTAGGGCTTTTTCCGTTGTCATGGGTTGATGAATTAGTTATAGAGACAGTTGTTCTTTATTAGCCTAAATTATAATCACCCATGTCCTTGATAATTCTTTCTTCCCAGAAATCTGATGGCGTGCCCGTCCACCTGAAACGAGGCCTGCCTGACCAGATGCTCTACCGGACCACCATGGCCCTGACGGTGGGAGGGACCATCTACTGCCTGGTCGCCCTCTACATGGCTTCACGGCCCCGAAGCAAATGAGTTCGACTGTAAAGGACTGGTTTGCTTTTTGGCATAAACCCTTTGAATTTTTGTTTCGTGAATGGCCTACTTAACATTTTGTAAGAAAAAAATGAGAAGATAGTAAGACAATATTTTGGTTTGTTGATGAAATGCACATGGCTTGTCAGAGCTCATTGACAGTTAAAACTGTTGTTTAAAGAAATGCCACTGCTCTTCGAGTTTGGGCTGTTGGTTTTCCTGCAGGTTCTGGATGAAGGCTGCACACAGGCTTGTTCACCGCAGCATGTGCTGAGGTCCATGGGGACTCGAGGTGGCCTTTTTAAGCATGGGGTACAGAAGCCTTTCTGGATTTTGATATGTCTGAGGAAGGAAGACCAAAGCCAAGGCCAGGTGCATGAAATGGGAGGTTTGAGTTAGTAGTTACCGTGGGGATTTTTCCATCTTGCCATAAAATGTTAATAGAAATTATTTGCAGCATACCTCTTTTCACTGGACAGTTTGTTTCAAAGGGTTATTTGCCTCATCTCAGATCTTTAGTGAAATTTTATGTGTAATTATTATGTATTTATTCTACTACGGGAACAGAACACGTGCTTAGTGTTGCATTTTAGACCGATGTCTGTTTTATGGATGAAGCTGTGACAAAAGTCTCCTTTACCTTTTAAAAATGTTGCAGTTTTTAAGTTATGATTTATTTTGATTGTGGAATAAATACATGAATGAAAAATGTTCAAGTTTGAAGTTTTTTAAAATGATCTTTCAAAATAATTTCAGAACACCAGAGGCATCTTAAACCTGAGTCTAATTTCGTTCTTCTTAGTTTGGCACCAGATAATCTTTACAAAATGGTTCCTCAAAGTCAAGTAAAAGGGGCTAATGGTATCTTGATGATTACCATATGCTTCCTTATAGGAAACCTGCTTGCGTCTTAGTGAAATGTGCTTGTAACACACAGTTCATGTAGACATTAATTTCCTGTGCTGTCACAGTTGGTAGACATACCCTACATTAATGCTGAAAAAAGGTGGAATTTTATTATATATGGAAGTGATGGTCTGTATCTTGCCATAGCAAAGGATAGTGATTTCTTACTGAGGATAAAATATTCTGTTTGTAAACAATAGTATTCTTATAGGTAGGAAGCTGTTATTTGTCTGTAACTTTATTCTTCTTTGGTATTTCCCCTGAGTTTTTATTTTGAAAATTTTCTGATGACAGAAACACTGTAAGAATAGTACAGAATACACCTGTACATCCTTAGATCACCAATTATCAATATATTGCCACCTTTGCTTTTTCTTGCTTTCTCACAGGCACACAATGATGTATGTACACATACACATTTGGTTTTTGCTGAGTTATTTAAGATTAAACTATAGAATTAAGATGATTCAGCCATAAATACTTTAGCCAGTATCTCCTAAGAATAAGGATATAATACAGTCGTCACACCCAATTTAACATTGATAACAATACTGATATCTAATACATAGTCTCTATTTAATTTTCCCCTAGTATCCTAATGTGTCTTTTGTAGTTATGTTTTTTAAAATAACAGCTTTATTGTGATATAGTTCACATACCATACAATTCACCTATTTAAAGTGTACAGTTCAGTGTTTTTTTTTACTATCTTTAGGGTTGTTGCTACCATTGCCACAAATCAGTTTTAAAACAGTTTTATAACCCTAAGAGGAAACTCTATACCCCATTAGCAGTCACTCCCCTTCCCCACCCTATCTCCCAGCCTTGGGCAACCACTAATCTTGGGCATTTCATATAAATATAATCACATAATATGTGATCTTTTGTAACTGGCTTCTCTCAGTGTAATGATTCCGAGGTTCATCCATATTGTACTATGTGTCATTACTTCATTCCTTCTTATGGTTGAATAATATTTCATTATGGATATACCACATTTTGTTTATCTGTTCGACAGTTGGATATTTAGGTTATTTCCACTTTTTGGCTATTATGAATAATGTTTTTATGAACGTTGGTATACAATTTTTTTTCACTTTAATTTATTGGGTCAGCACTAGTTAACAAAATTATACAGATTTCATGTGCACAATTCTAAAACAGGCATACAAGTTTTTGTATGGACATAGGGTATATACCTAGAGGTAGAAATGCTGGGTTGTGTGGTAACTCCATATATAACATTTAAAAAAAATAAGGGATTTTTAAAAATTGATTTTTGGAGAGGGCGAGAGAGAAAGAGAGAAACATTGATATGAGAGAGAAACATCGATCAGCTGCCCCCTGCATGCACCCCGACTGGGGATTGGGTCCACAATCTGGACATGTGCTCTGACTGGGAATTGTGACCTTTCAGTACATGGGATGACATTGATGCTCAATCAACTGAGCCACACAGACCAAGGCTGCATATTTAACTTTTGAGGAACTACCAGACTGTTTCTAAATCAGCTGTACCATTTTACATTCCCACTAGCAATTGGTTTTTGTTTTTGTTTTGGATCCAGGATTCATTCAAGAATCACCCATTGCATTTAGTGGTGATATTCCTTTAGTCTCCTTTTATCCAAAACAGTTGCCAGTGTTCTTCATGACATTGACCTGTTTGAAGAGGTCAGGCCAGTGTTTTACAGAATATCCTTTAAGTTGGATTTGTATAATTGTCTCCTTATGTTTGGATCCAGGTTAAACATTTTTATCAGGAATTGTTCATATATGGTGTGGTATCATTATACCAGGTGGTACTTGATACCAGTTTGTCCCATTATTGGGGATTTGAATTAGATCATTAAGATGCTGTCTGTCAGATTTCTCCCTTGTAAAGATACCCTTTCCCCTTTGTAATTAATAATCTGGGTGATATTTGAAACTGGGAATATTCTATCTGCAGTAGTTTTGTATCCAGTGTTAGTGTTCACTGGTGATTCTTTGAATCATTTATTTTTAAGGTGGTTGTAAAAAACTGATTTTCTATTCTGTCATTTCTACAATGCTGACATTTTTCTGTGAAGATGAGTACCCCCTTTTTAAAAAGTTGTAGTGTAATTTTTTCATTCCATGTAATAACCATTTCTGTTGTTACTCATTCTGATGCTTAAGTTCAGCCCAGATTTTGTTTCTGTGTCGTTGACATGCCCGTATCAGTCTTTGACTTTCTTCGCGTTCTGACACACAAGATGCTTTCCATGCTGACCTTACAGTTTCTGCACCCGTTTCCTCTGTTCACTTTCAGATATGTTCTGTTCATATGTATGATGCATTTTCCTTCTCTGCCTGTTTGATTTTTGCTTAAGTGGCTCTGTACATTCTTACTGCTCACTCATAGTTTGGTGATTGTTTTCTGCATTGTGTTTCATCTTATGAATACACCCCAGTGTACTTAACTAGTCGCCTTTTTGTTGTTTTTAATCCTCACCCGAGGATATTCTTAGAGTGGAAGGGAGGGAAGGAGGGAGACAGAAAAAGAAACATCAGTGTGAGAGAGATACATTGAATGGCTGCCTCCCGCACTACCCTGACCAGGGTCAGGGGATTGAACCCGCAACCCAAGCATGTGCCCTTGTCTGGGAATCAAACCCACAGCCCTTTGGTCTGCGGGCCCATGCTCTAACCACTGAACCGCACCAGCCAGGGCTTAACCAGGCAGTCTCCATTTGATGGTTAGTCTTACATTTTTTGCTTTTACAAACACTGCTTCAATGTATAATCTTTTTATTTTTTGTATTACTGAGTATATTTGTAGAATAATTTCTAGATGCAGACTGTTAAGGCAAAGAGAATGTGCGTTCCCAAGTTTGATTGCTATTCCTCCCTAAAAGCGATGGTTACTGATACATGTTCCTGTCTAGACATGATGAGGGTGCCTGTTCTTCCTCTCCTTTGCCAACCTGCTAAGTGATCAAATTTCTTTGGTTTAAATTGCTTTTCTCTTGTAGTTGGTAATGTTGAATATCTTTCTTTTAAAAAAATTTTTTTTTCGCCCTGGCCGGTTTGGCTCAGCGGTTAGAGCGTCCGCCTGCGGTCCGGAGAGACCCGGGTTCGGTTCCCGCTAAGGGCACATACCTCGGTTGCAGTTTGTCCCCGGCCCTGGTTGGTCGTGCGGGTGGCAGCCACTCGATGTGTCCCTTTCACATCGATGTTTCCCTCTCTCTCTCTTCCTCTCTCTCCCTCCCACACTGTCTGTACAAAAAATGGAAAAGTGTCCTCGGATGAGGATTAAAAAAAACAAACAAAAAAAAAAAGAAAAATTTTTTTTCCTTTATTGATTTTAGAAAGAGAAGAAGTGAGAGGAGGAGAGAGAGAGAATCATCGACGAGTGAGAACATCGATTGGCTGCCTCCTGCTAGCTCCCCACAGGGGATCAGGCCCACAACCTGGGCATATGTCTTGACCGGGAATCGAACCAGCAACCTCTTGGTACACGGCTCCATGCTCAGCCACTGAGCCACACCGGCCGGACTGAATATCTTTCTTTTGTTTAAAATTTATTCTTAATTTTTAAAATTTTTTTATTTTTAAAGGTAAGTTTTATTTCTTTTTTTGTGAACTGTCTATTCATGTACTTTGCCCACTTTTGTCCAGGTCCTTTTGATAATGCCATTAATGTCATTGGCTCATCAGGCTGACTTTCTCAGGAACTGTCTGTACTGACTCCTGTCTGAGCCAAACCTCTTCTGATTACAGGTCCCAGAAACTCATTAAAACCAGCCTATGGAGAAAAGGGAATTTTCCAGAACTCTAGCCCACTTGGGCCTCACAAGGATCACCTTTGGGACCGAGGTGGTTGTCTTTTTTGTCACTCTCTTGGCTGTGTAGCTGTTTAGTGCTCTGTTTCTGTGGACCAGCTTACTGTTTCTCATTGCATATGGTAGGAAATGGTTGTCCAGACACTAAAAATCAACCCCAAATAATAGGGGAGAGATTATCTTTGGCCCCCACTTTTGGGTCAGGTCTCCCACTGTTTGGTGCCGGGCTATAGGGACATGCAGAGAAGGAGCTGAGCTGGGCCTGTTCCTGGATTTGAACTGATGGCTCTGAGCCTTCACTAGACTCTCAGGATTGTTCCATCTAAGTACTTACTTTGAATCCTT